ACAATTCAAAGCTGTCTGGACTGTAGAGTGAATTCGAAGCAACCTTAATAAAAGTCTCTCCCCCCCGCCTCCCCCCCCCCCCACATACACACAGACACACACAGACACACACTCCTAAAGCCTGGGAATATGGTTTAGAGATTGAGTGATATTCTAGGTTCAATCCTGAGTACAGAAAAACAAAAACAAAAGCCAGGGCAAATGGAAATAGAGACAATTTGTTGGAAGGCTGAACACTCAGTTTCTATGGCCCAGCGAGCCCACTGTTATACTTACCCACCAGAAAAGGATGCTTCTGTCCTCTAAGCGGCAGACACAAGGCTGTTTGTCGTAGTAAGAACTAGAAAAATAAGACTGTGGAGGCAACTCGTGATATTTGTGATGGTTAATTTTATATTCAGTTGGCTAGACAATCATGTTAATTTAATGTTTCCTTGGCTAAACAACTGGATAGTTGCTTGATTAAACATTTCTCTACATGCTGGTGTGAAAGCATTTCGTAGATGTGATGAACATTTATCAACATCTTTTTTTTTCTTTTTTTTTGGTTTTTCGAGACAAGATTTCTCTGTGTAGCCCGGGCTGTCTTGGAACTCACTCTGTAGACCAGGCTGGCCTCGAACTCAGAAATCTGCCTGCCTCTGCCTCCCAAGTGCTGGGATTAAAGGCGTGCGCCACCACCGCCCGGCGAGTCGCGTCATTTTCTAAGTGACATAACTTTGATTACTGTTTGAATAATTAAAGACCATGGCCTTGCCTGGTCACAACAGTGACACATAGTGATGACCTCAGCACAGGCCTAGTGTCTGCTGCTGTGTCCTGCCCTCGTCCTCTCTGTACTTGGCTGCAAGGGGAAATGGCTCATCCTTAGGGCAACAGCAGTATTTCCTCTCATAAATCTTGGTGTCTGACCACAACTATTCCACAGTCAAGTAGGTCTAGGTCTGGGTGCAGAAAGTCATACGAGAACGGGACCTGTCTATTCAACACACACAGTCAAGAGTACAAGACAACCTGGCACAAGTTCCCTCTTGAGTGTCGAACCATAACCCTGTGGACAATTTTCCTGTTCATCTCTGTTTAGGGGATAACCTAGACTCCCTCAGCTAGAGTCCCTGTCTCAGGGTCTTCCTGTGTTTGTTGGGTTCATACATTTCTTCAGTCAAGTCTTTCCCAGGTACTTCTTTAGCTGCCATGTCAAGTCTAAGCTTCTCTGACTTCCAGGCTCTGTGCCCTGACCCTGCCTGGATGACATGACAGCTATCTCAGTATTTTTGAAGGGCTGTCACAGAGGAGAGAGATTAGTGTGCTTCTGTGCTGCCCCAGCAGGCAGAGGAGCCATCAGGGGTGGAAATTACAGAGACTTAAATGCCTCAGTTCCTAAACAAAGGTTGTCTTGAGTGAGTGACGTGAATGTAGGTGCTGATGGCGGGGTTCCCTGATGGTTTGTGGAGATCAGACTACTCATGGACCACGGAGAGACCCCACAGGATTCTATCTTCATCCACTGGTCTAACACAGTAGTGTGCGTCCAGTCTCAACATTTCTGACAATGCAGAAGGACTTGCCCATCAAGCCTTTTAAAGTAATCAATGTGAACCCAGCAGGTTCACTTCAGGCTTTGAAGATACTACAGACTGAAGACTGACTGTGTCACCTCACCTTTTGGAGCCAGGCTGGGGTTGGAGGGGCTAGGCCAAATTATGTAAAGCCCTATGGGCCCTGATCAAGAATTTGGCTTTTATTGCAGAGGCAGCAAGAGCAGGGGACTGAGAGGATCCCTGAGTGAGGCAGGAGACCGTGGACTTTCTGTTAGGAAGAGTTTCCGTGTGACACTACCGATGATACTGAGTAGTGAATGACAAGTTCCCACACGGAGACGCAAGGATGGGCGGGGCAACCTGATGCTTCTAAAGGAACCTCCTTGTCCCACATTCTGATTGCCCAACCTCACTCACTCCACCGTGGCCTCTGGCAGAACCCATCCATCCAAGCTGTTTCTCCACGCTCATCCGTCTCTTTGTATCTAGCTGCTACTCTCTTGCTCACAGTCTAACTACTGCTGCTGTTTCTGATAAAAGTATACGAGAGAACGGACCGGACTTACGAATTTATATAGCAGAGTATTGTGTGACCACTTATATTGAAGTGGTAGAAGGAAATTTAATGACGTGGGAAAATGGATGTTTTATTCTATTACATAAAAGCTGATTGCAGTGAAATCTCACTTTTGAAAATGAATTAAAAAATATTCGTGGCTATGTCCCAGTGGCAGGATTGCTTAGTATGCACAAGGGCCTGGGTCCAACCTGCGGCAGCAACACACACACACACACACACACACACACACACACACACACTCTCTCTCAAATACAAACTTACACATTGAAAAACAACAACAAAGCATCATATACTAGTCTGGTTGATGGCACTGGGGAGGTCAAGACAGGAAGATTGTGAGTTTGAGGCCAGCCTGGGCTGCAAAGTGAAACCTATATAGAAAAAAAGCCAGAGCTGGGGCTGTAGCTCAGTGCTGGGGCACTTGCCTAGCGTGCAGGATGCACTAGGTTAGCTCTAGGACAGCAAAAATAAATCATCATCATCAACAACGCCATACTCGAGGATCAGAAGCACTTTCGTTTCAGCATTTTCTAAATTCCTCAACATTAGCATGGTTTTGCTTTTACAGAAGTATTTTTCCTTGCTATCCACCCTTCTGGTAACAGACCACTGTGAAATTCAGTACATGACATTTCCAGGTTCTCTACTCACTCTGGCCTCATGTCTCCAACTGAGGTATTTCTTGCTAAATTATGGCTTATTTTTTCATCTTCCCAGGTGTGTAGCAGTGTGCTGAAACTGGCCTCTTGGGGTATTCAAAGTATGTCACAAACATACCCAAAAGGCTCTGGACCTCATGAGCCACCAGACACCCACAGGCCTCTTGGGTGTAGGGAGCTCAATAGAAATGACCCAGGCATCTGGTCAGTGGCCTCTAGACCTCGGCCTATTTTATTTTTCTGTCTGTCTGAGACCTACCGGAACCTATGGCCTTAACCAAAGACCAAATGAAAGATCTTCCAGTACAGATCACAACTGGAAGTTGGAAGGTCACTTGTGTAATTTCTATACAATTTTGTAATTTGTGAACAGCATTAGAGCCAATTAGAGGGAACACAGGGGTCACTGTTTCTTCAGAAATTACCCCTCATCCCCTTGAAAACTGAGCCTTACTGTCACTGTGCCTACTGCATGTCAGATACTGCGCCAGCAGCATTTCCACAAAGCTGACGGCAGCGCCAAGTCCAGAGAGCTGCTCCTTTGCAGCCCACTCGCTCACATTTTCCTCATAAACCGCCTGGCACGACCTCTGCAGCAAAAGCATCAGAGCCTTCGTATCCACAGGCAACCCTAATTCCACTGGCCGGCATGGACATCTCTCCTTTCTCTCCCTACACCAGAGGCAGCACCTACTTAAGCAGAGAACAGGGCACTACTGTTGGCTTGACAGCTGTCTTCAAGTGCACACAGACACAGTTCTCCTCAGATGCTTGAGGAGCTGTCAGGCAGGATGACAAGGTTTATCCCGTAACTAAATCTGCTTGCTCCTGAGACCCTAACATGGCTCCAGCCTCGTCAGTCCCTGTGCAGACCACCGTGCAGCTGTCTGACTAACAGCTTTCTCCATGGCCTGCTTGCCTGTCTAGTCTTGCTCCCTTTAATCCTTTTCCAGGAGCCCAAGTGGTCTGTTTAAATGGTGAATGTGATCACTCCTGCCTCACTTAAACTTCGTAATGCTTTGCTTCGCCTTAGGATAAACTCTGAACCTCTGAGCTGCGCTAAGCCCCAGCCCCTGCACCACTTCCCAGCTACAACTTCACCCAGACCCACTCTCACCAAAAACTGCTTACCCTCCCACCTCCAGGCGTTCGACCCACCCTCCTTTCCTTCCCCCTATTTAGCTGATCTGTCCTGGGGCCACCTAGATGTCATTTCTTCTGAGTCTAGACTAGGATTCTTACATCTTCCACAAGTATTCTAGGTTTAAACTACACGCTTGTCATTTGTCTTCTTGCCTGCTTATGCCTCTTTCTCCAGACAAGCAGCTCCTTGAAGGCCAAGGCTCTTATCTCTACCCAGGCCAGGGACGCCTGAGAAGTACTCAATCACTACTGAGTGGTGAATGAATGAGGACTTCTTGCTAGCAGCTGACCCACCCACCTCAGAGATCTCCAGAGAGCATCCACACGGCCAGCAGGTGGGAGGGTCTTCAGTCAGAGCCCCTTCCCCCTCAGCTCATGTCCTATCTTCGGTTAGATTCTCTCACAAGATAACCGATCTGGGGCAGAGCCTCTGTTCCCAGCCTACTGAGGCCTTGGCTATGTCACAGCCTCCCCGAGCTCCTGTCAGTCAAACAGCCTACTTCATTACTGTGTCAGAACTAAATGAGATCATGTATGCTCAAGTACCTTGTAAACCTTCAGGTAGGCTCATGATGACTCTCAGGGGTAAAACACATGCTGACATTCAGGGGGCCCTGGGCTCCCTCCAGTACCTCAAAATAAACATCAAACAGATTAGAAGTCAAACCAAGTCTTGTCACACAATCTTCTTCAGGACGTGAAGCTTCAATGAACAATTAAACTCAGCAACTGCATTAGAAGACAAAGTGCCACAGGTAAATGTTCACTGCTCAGGCAGAACCCAGAACCAGATCAGCAGCCCCAGGCCCTGCTGCTGAGTAAAGGAAAAGGTGCCAGCCAACGGGAGAAGGCGCACCTGCTGAGGCAGCAGCAGGGAAAGGCCAGGTGTCCCAGCATCAGGGAGATCCTTGAAGCAGACAGACTACTTGGACAAAGGAGACAAGGCCTAAACCTCTAAGTCATTTCAAGTCAGCAGAAACCAAACCAGACCCACTCAGACCCTCCTTTGATTAGGCTTCAAGTCGGGTGAGCTACAACACTGTGTGCCCCTTTGGCAAGACAAACCCAACACAACACTTAACGACTTTTTTCTTTTTAATGAGGAACCAGGGGGCTGTGCTGCTTATCCTCTGCAACAGTCTAGAGCAGGTCGGCAGGCCCAGGATGGAGACGGTGTCAGAGGTACTGCGGTGGGCTTTGCTGAACTTGCAGAAAGCCCAGGAGGAAAGACAATGGTGGCAATAGACGTTGGCAAGAACTAGTGTTAGCCAACTACAGCCTGGAGCAAGCGCTCTCCTTCCTTCCAACTCCTCTTGAGACTGGAGTGTGCCAGCAGCCAGAAAATGTGTCAGAAGGGCAGGATGCAGCCGAGCGGTCGGACCCTGGTCCCCTCAGCATCTCTTCACTTGCCTACCCTCCATTCCTCTTGCCGCTTCATGATTAGGTATTTGAAGAATTCATACACAGACCATGCGATGGCTGTGGAGGGGATCTGGTAAATTACTCTGGCTTGCACCCCTCGGAAGTAAGCAGTCACCCCGCCTACTTGATAGACCGTCCTGAAGGCACTAGCCATGCCTGTGATGTGTCCAGTAATGTTTGAGTTCAAAGCCAGGGATTCCTGGGTGTTGAGCAGTGTTTTACAAACGTCCAGTGGGGTTGTGGCGGCGGCAGCTACTGCTCCTGCACAGGCTCCACAAAGCATGTGGGAGCTGGGGTTGTACCGTCTCTGGGGGTTAACGTGCTCCTGCAGGAGCTCATAGGTCATGAAGTGAATGGCTTGGAAGGGAACATTCATGGTCAGCTGGGTCGTGTAGCTGCGGTAAAAGGCCCCGGCCCCTTCATTTTGCCACACTGCCCGAACACAGTCTGTCACCCGGTGGTACGGTGAGTTGTACATCTGCATTCTCTGCTTGACGACTGAGTGCCATCAGAAGGAAGAAGGGCAAAACGGGGACAGCCACCAGCCAGTGACATCCCAATTCAGGGTTCCAAGTCAGCAGATCAGCCAATGGGACAGGGAGAAAACAAAGGATGATGAGTTTCCTTAGAGTCTGTATTTCTCTTATTGTAGGGAGAAGGGGGGGAAAGAGTTAATAAGAATTTTTTTTTTTAAATGAGCCCATTCCTAGTAGGATTTCTTTTAAACCAAACAGCTAACACCCGGCATATCTACAGCTTAGTAACCTCAGAGGGTCTCTGTGAAATGAAGACCTCTTATTATCTTAACCGTTCTCAACCACAGATGGCTCAGTGGCAGTGCACGCTGTAGTGAACAGTCCTACAATTCCGTCCTTGAGAAGGGAGGTGAAAGAAAATGCTACCATGAAAAACTACAATTCTTACTCAAAAAGTGCTGCCTTCAGTTTGTAAACATTTCCTATTCCATTAGACACATAGCATGGCTTGCGTTCTGGGTACCTCTAGCCAACTTTAGCTGTTTATACCCCAGAGTCTTCCCATACCTAAGCTGAAGGAACATGGCCCCTCACATTGGCTGATCACCTCAATTTTCACCAAATGTTTTTGGAGAATTTCCTTCCACCTAAAAAGCTACTACCGTAGTCGCAAAGACGAGTTAAACTATACAATTTAGTCTTTCATTTTTGTCTACACTCCAGTCAATGTAATACTTTATATTTTAAAATGTTAAAACCAGCCGGGCAGTGTTGGCGCACACCTTTAAGCCCAGCACTTGGGAGGCAGAGAGAGGCGGATTTCTGAGTTCAAGGCCAGCCTGGTCTACAGAGTGAGATCCAGGACAGCCAGGGCTACACAGAGAAACCCTGTCTCGAAAAACCAAAATAAAATAAAATAAAATAAAATAAAATAAAATAAAATAAAATAAAATAAAATAAAATAAAATGTTAAAACCTACGTTCTTTGAAGAAACACAGAATAATTTAATACAAACCAGAGATCAAATATACTATAAAGCGGACTTCTAGGAAAGCCCAGGACTAAGCCAACAGAGCCATCACTTTTTCCAAGGAAGCCTTGAAGATGAATTAAATCCCAAAGACTATGCTGCCTCAGCAACACAGTACTGAACATACGGAGGGCGCGCCATCTAGTGGTATAAATAAGAAGATCTGCCACAAAACTTATGCTCTGGTTTTCTTTGGAAGGCAGAAACAGAACCAGGCTGCCCACCCAGAAGGATGGCTAAAGAATTTTTACCTTCCGCTGGATTCATGGCTGCATCATGAAGTAATGTTGCCACACATCCGGCTGCACCTGCAAAGGAGAAAACAACTGCCACATGTAAGGCCGAGAGGGGGAGCACTTCACTGAGGCCCCAGGTGAAGGTGAGTGGCGGGCACAGGGGAGGGAAGGAATGTTAAGAGTCAGTCCACAAAGTGGATTCAGAACCCACTGCTCCTGACTCCTTCTCCCAGAAAGGAAGATGCACCCTAACTTAAAACTGTCATCACTGCACACTCCACATCTGACAGGAAGCCCCAAGGAGCAAAGAGGACAGCCCCAATATCTTCAGTAGGGCATACTAAGAATAAATGCAGTTATGTCCTGGCAGGAAGCAGGTGCACTGCTGGCAAGGCATGCCAGCACAATGGCCACCAGTGAAGGGAGAATGGGGGGGGGGTGCAGGTAGCCAGAACCTCAATCTAATCTGCTTCTTTCTCCGACTGCCTGCAAACTGCCCCACCTGTCTCCAGATCCCATGACTCTATCACGGCGCATCCAGACCTTCCCTGTTGGCCCTAAACCTCTATCCCCCACTCTCTACACTCAACATGGCTCTTCGTCTGCCGCCTTGTATTGCTATGTCTTCATTTCCACCCAACCCTTAAAACATCTGGATTCTCCAAACAGTCCCTTGACCCCACCCCATTCACTTGTCAAGGCTTTCTCATGCCCTCAGTGACACCAACTGCCTCTGGTCAAGTGGGATCCTGAAAAGGAAGAGCTGAGGCTCCATTAATGTCTTCCTTGAGAGTGGCGGGGTCACCTCCACTCCTGCCCTGAGAAGCAGGATACCACCCAACTACCAAGGCACACATCGTGGGGGTAGTTCAGGGTGTCTCCACATTACCAGGCATTAGAAGCAGATGCCAGGGAGATGAGAGGAAAGTCAAGCTGGTAAGGGAGGAAGGGCACTGTGACCTTTGTTGAGGTGCCCCAAAGGACGAGTGGGGTTGAAGCAGCCCGCTGTCCGAGCACATCAGGTTTGGAAGTCCCTCCCCTATAATCTGGCCTACCCCAGCCCAAAGCTGTAGCTCCAAACCATGCGAGGCTGGGAAACACTGACAGCAGCAAAGCCCAGAGAGTTGGGGGAGTGGGGACCAGCACAGGAAGGCTCAATACCATTGGCAATATGGCTATTGCCCCCTGGGTGGATTACATCACTCAATGTCTTTTTTAACTTTTCGTAGCAGGCAAAATAGAGGGCGTGGGCAGGCCCCGCGCCTGTTGCTGTGACATTCAGCCCCCGCATGGGCCTCCAGAGGCCCTCTGTCCTCATGATTCTCCAGAGAGCCTCCAACACGTTTCGATAGCGGGCGGCTGGGTCAGGCCGCAGACTCTGCATCCGGGTCTGAAATTAGAGCAAAGAAAGCAAAGTCAGTGACTGTAACTTCTCACCCACCTCATCCCTCCAGCCCTGGGCACTGGTTAAGCCTGTGGGAGTGACACCGGGCGTCCAGCTTTTACAACTTCCCGAATCTATGAGTCATCTTTCCAAGACTTGAACCTTTTTTCCTCTAGTCATCCACAGCCAAATAGCAAAGCACCATTACATCCCTTGAGAACACTGCCTTTTGGCAATACACTGCAACTCCAAAATGACCCACTGCCCCAGCAATAAATACCAAGTTTGAGATTCACAAAGTTGCTTTTATACCTTAATAAACTAGCCTAAGTTTAGAGGTCTGGGCTGGAGAGATGGTGCAGGCACTAAGAACATGTGCTACTCTTTTTTTTTTTTTTCTTTTTAAAGATTCATTTATTATACACTGCTTGCGTCTATGTCTGCAGGCCAGAAGAGGGCACCAGATCTCATTGTAGATGGTTGTGAGCTACCATGTGGTTGGTAGGATTTGAACTCAGGACCTCTAGAAGAGCAGTCAGTGCTCTTAACCGCTGAGCCATCTCTCCAGCCTGTATGTACCACTTTTGTTTTGTTTTGTTTTGTTTTGTTTTGTTGAGACAGGGTTTCTCTGTATAGCCCTGGCTGTCCGGGAACTCACTCTGTAGACCTGGCTGGCTTCAAACACAGAAATCTGCCTGCCTCTGCCTCCCAAGTGCTGGAATTAAAGGTGTGCGCCACCACCACCCGGCTGTATGTACCACTCTTACAGAGGGCCTGAGTTCAATTCCCATGTTGGGTGGCTCACAATCACCTGTAACTCCAGCTCCAAGGGATCCACCACTCTTTTCTGGACTCTGTGGTTATTTGCACACACACACATACATACATACATACATACATACTACATACATTCATACATACATACATACATATCCACCCACACCCAGGCACATACACATAATGAAAATAAAACTCAACCTTTAATTCAAATACTTACTGTCTACGGCACACTCGGTACTTTATTCTAAAGCTCAGCCCTAGCCCTGCTTCCTGACCACACAGACTAAAGAGAGGGTGGCCCATCTTTTGATATCTTTTCAGACTATGTGGCTATTGGAAGCTGACTCTGCATGTTAAAGTCTTACTAGAAATTAATTCCCAATAGATGCTGCTCCTGGGAAAGAAGTCTGGCCCCAAACTGTGAATATGGGGACCAAACTAATCTTTAAAACTGAAGGACCGGGGGCTGGAGAGATGGCTCAGTGGATAAGAACACTGACTGCTCTTCCAAAGGTCCTGAGTTCAATTCCTAGCAACCACATGGTGGCTCACAACCATCTGTGATGAGATCCAATGCCCTCTTCTGGTGTGTCTGAAGACAGCTACAGTGTACTCATGTAAATAAAATAAATCTTAAAAAAATAAAATAAATAAATCTTTAAAAACAAAACAAAACAAAAAAACCTGAAGGACCATTCAGATTTCTCATCTAAACTGACTGGATCCTCAGAACGGCCTTGGCAAATATAACCAGCCTCTGTGGAACACCATCTCTGAGGAGTCAGTTCTGGGATGATAGCGTGTACTAGACACTTGTAGACTAGCCAGAGTAAGATGGGTGGTGCTGAGTCTCAGCACTCAGAACAAACAGGCAGGCGAGCTCATGAGTTTGAGGCCACTCTGGCCTACAGAGTGAGTTCCAAGAAACCAGAGCTACAAAGAGAAACTCTGTCTTGAAAAAAGAAAGGAAGGAGGGGAGGCCAGGGGAGGGGAGGACAGGGGAGGGGAGGGGAGGGGAAGAAGGAAGGAGAGAAGGAGGGAGAAAGGAAGAAAGGAAGGAAGGAAGGAAGGAAGGAAGGAAGGAAGGAAGGAAGGAAGGAAGGAAGGAAAGAAGGAAATAATATCCACAAAGTTTTACTGAGATTTAGGCATCCAAACCAGTGAGGCGTCTCAGTGAGTAAAGTCACTCGCCCCAAGCCTGCCACCCTGAATTTGATCCTTCGAACCCACAAAGCATAAGAAGAGAACTGGTTCCCACAAGTGGTCCTCTGACCTCCACAGGCATGCTCCAGAAGCTCTCAAGCTCACTTGCTCACGCTCTCAGTCTCATTCTCTCTCTGAATGTTTAAAAAAGAAAAGAGGGCTGGAAAGATGGCTCAGTCCTTACAAATGTACACTGCTCTTTCAGAGGATCTAAACTCAGTTCCCAGTACTCATGTTGGATGGTTCACAACTGTAACCCCAGCTCCAGGGGAGCCAATGCCTTCAGGACTCCATATTAGACATACTTCCCCCTCCACAAACACATATTATATACAGCTCTAAAAATAAAAATCTTTAAAAGAAATTGGAAATCCATCTCACTAGACCTTCTCTGAAGTATGTCTTTCCACAAAAATCTTTTGTCTACTGACATACTTCAAAGCTAAGGTAGAATGGAGCCTACAAACAACGTACTGGTACTCAGGGACCTCTAGGACCTGTCTGCTATGTAAATGAAATGACCTACTGTCAGATATGTCCTCACAGTTCAGAAAACAACAACTCCAGCCATAGTGAGCCAGCAGGAGCAACTGATAGCCGGCGGCAGTCTACATTCCAGCTTCATTCTCATCAGTATTCAGATTCAAAAGCCCGAATCTGCCTGACTCAAACTAGCCAACTGGGATCCAAGAATCAGGCCTTTTCTCAAAAGCATAGAAGAAAAACTAACCAGATTAACAGGTCCTGGTTAGCCGCAAGCAATCCACATTCCTCTGGAGTTATTGTCTCCTGCCTGCTACTAACATAACACTGCATGCTTAAATTGTTCATTAGTGGACTTTCAATCAGAACTACCACACATCACCTTATCACAATGGACATTCAGTTTCCCAGTCTCAAAACTATCCAAAGGGTGTGATTAAATCTGGGCCTGGTGGCTTAACAACCCACACTTCCACAAGTCTGGTTAGAACCGGTCTTCTACAAGAGGAATCAGAAACTGCAGTGCCCTGGGCATGTGTGGCAACCAGTGATGAAAGATTCTGGCCTCAGAGAGAGAACTCTTCATCCCCAAGAGGAAACTGGACTGTGTGGAAGTTACTCCTAACATTTTACAACCACATTCAAGTCTAATTCAATGACAGTGCAGCCGTACGCAGACAAAACAGGACCCAGGCATAAAATAGTCCAAAAACAAGAATGAATTTGGACGCCCATATTTTTGAGCCAATAAATATGTTTTGCAGAATCATAAAATCTCTAAGAACATAGAAGAAGCTATAATATGAAACAAACAAAAATAAGCACCACTACCTAGCACGGAAGAGAAGCTAAGTAAGCTGGGCAGAAGTGGCACATGCCTTTAATCCCAGCACTCAGAAGCAGAGGCAGGTGAATCTCTGACTTCGAGGCCAGCCTGGTCTACTGTAAGAATTCCAGGACACCCAGGGCTACAAAGAGAAACCCTGCCTCAAAAAACAAACAAACAAGCAGACAAAAACGTGGAGGGGTTTGGTGCTGTCTGACAGGAGGCCTGGTCTGAATGCTGGCTTTGCTGGGCACACTCAGTCTTGACTTCATCACCCAACTTCTCTCACTGTGAATCTCATCATGCAGGGCTGGAGGATGGCCCAGCAGTTAACAGCACTGTTCTTGTGGAAGGAATGGGCCTGACTCCCAGCACCAACACAGCAACTCCCAACCAACCCTAACTCCAGTTCCAGGGAATCCAATGCCCTTCTCAGCTCCATGGGCAGCAGGCACTCACATGGTGCACAGACATATGTGCAGGCAAAACACACACACAGATAAAATAAAATAATCTAAAAGGTGCTAGTAGAAAAAGAAAATTGCCATGCTATATGGATAAAAAGAAACAAGGCATGTAAAAATTATAATTTATAAAGTACTCTAAATGTAAGAGTTTTGATCATTAAAACATGATTCTAAAATATATTTGTTCATGTCCATATACATCACTTCACATGGGCAACTAATCGGTCCTTAGCCAGTAACAAGGCAGGCTTAACTCTAAAGCTAGCACATGTGAGTGTGTTCACTGTGAGGTTTTCCTGGCCTACAGTCATTTGCATTGCACATTCGGATGTAACTCTAAAGGTTATACACGCACAGGTGAGCTCCACTGTGACTCCTGAGCTTGCTTGCTTCTTGGGAAGCCATAAGAAAGGTTGATGAGTCACAGGCTGAACGCAAATCACGGCTCTGCCACTCAAGACTCTGTGACCTTTGACAAGTTACTTAACTGCTCTCCAATCCTTTCTTCTACTATGAAATAAAAACTTCACACAATGCTGGAAAGTAACAATGACTGGCATTTACTGATACTTAGTTATCATGAGGTGTGAGAAAACCTCAGTGAGACATTGTATTTCCTAACCTTTCACTGGTGGATGTATAGAGATAACCTTTACATCTGAGCTCAAGAAAGACTTTTCTCTGCTCTTTTCCTCTCTTCTTCACTACTGCAGAGCCCAAAATGGCCCCCTGCATAAGGGAGGCAGCCAGAAGGCTCCGAGGTCTAGAAAAGGAAACTGCGATTTATCTGGATTCCCAAACCTCCCTATTATGATCATGGAAATAGCTGGCTTGATAACTGTGGCCTAGCAAGGCTATGTTGACTTCCCATGGTCTTTCCCAAGGATATTTTAAGTCAACTTGACCCTGATAAGTGGCTAGGGATACATAGGCCAGCATGCCAAGAGACAACATCAGCATTCGGTAGCAAACACTGTGGTGTCCCTTTTGGCTCCAACACTGATACCTGTTTCCAGTCCAGTCTTACAGTCTGGTTGGGCTGCTTCTCCTCTCCACCATCCATGGGGAAAGCAGCAGATCTGCTAGGGGACAAATGAGCTGGGAAGCCCATTCTAAGAGGAGGGATTTGAGTTACATTCATGCCTGCACAGGAACATTAGCTGTTAGAACACTAATTCATACCAGACTATCTTCTTATCATTTTAATGCTCAGCATTAACAGCGAGGAGAAATGATTCTTCTGAGATAAGCATCTGCATTTTTGAAGACTCTTAGGCATTTGTCCTTCAAATCAAACAACCAGTTTTTTTAGAGTAGGGTTTAGAGGCTACACTGCAAAACTGTATAGTCAATTTCTTTAAAAATACAAATCCCAAAGCATATATAGGTGATTAGGAAGTATTACTCCAAATAGTTAACCTTGGAAGGCTAGACACAACTTACTCCAGTAATCCTCTGGTTATGCAACACACCTTGAAACTCCCTCTTGTGTCCTCGCAACTTACAGACCTTGGAAAGAAGTCAGGGATTTGATCTGCCAGCCCTTCCTCATGTTTAGAGAGCAGGCACTATGGCCCATTCTGGTGTACCATATTAGATTCTGAGTGGTCTTTATTGCTGCATAATCTTTTGATTCTTTTTGCCCTCATTAAGGATATTCTAAAGGCATTTCTTCTTCTCCTTCTTCCTCCGCCTCCTCGTCTTCCTCCACCACCTTCCCCCTTTTTGAGATGGAGTTTCGCTGTGTAGTCCTGGATATCCTGGAACTAACTGTGTAGACCAGGCTAGCCCCGAACTCAGAGATCTGCCTACTTCTGCCTTCTAAATTAAAAGCATGAGCCACCAACACCTGGCTCTAGAGGCATATCTAACAAGGGAATTCATAAAACTGCTGAAAGCCAAAACAGCATTATAAAGTAAGGAGAACCCTCTTACTATTTTGTAACAATACAAGTATGAGACTGATAGGTAGTAGTGACATCTTTTCTTTCCTTTCTGTATGGCACACTTACCTGTTTGTTTGGATTATGTGCAAATCTGTGAATGTGTGTGGAGGCATCTTCCTCAATCTTGTTTATTTATTGAAACAGGGTCTTACCACACAGACCAGTCTGGCCTGGAACCTGATCTGCCTGTCTCTGGCTCCTGAGTGCTGGAATTAAAGGTACTCAGTGTGAGACAGGTTCTCTTACAATCTGGAACTCATGGATTTGGCTACACTGGCTAGCTAGTGAGTTCCAAGGATCTGTATGATCGCTTCTACTTCCCCAACACTGGGATCACAGACAAGGACCACCATGCCTGGATTTTCATGTGACCAATAACAGATGATTTATGACAGAGCCACCTTCCCAATCCCAGTAGTAACATTTTTAAACTGGAGATTATCACACTGCATTCCATTAAACAATTCTATTGCTTTCTCTGATCTGTCTTCCATATGATACTCATCCTGAACACAGCACTTCAGATCCTCTGCTGTATTTGGAGCTGAGAGAGGTTACTCTGAAGCTAAATTGTCTTAACTTTTGGATATGTAGCATTCATTAACTCAAGACATCCAACCTACATACAACCTATCAATTAAATGTCTGAATCACTATTATTTCTATATGCTCATTTTACAGTTAGTGATTTCTCTCATATAGGCTTTATTATTTCTTTTAAGGGAAGTCACAGCAAGATATCTGGGAAATGCTGCTACCCAAAGAACACCTCCAGCCTTAACTCCAGTTCACGGTCTAACTCTCTCCATTGACAAGGATGTTTAAAACGCTCACCTTCACCTCAGTCAGGTTAACCTGCTAGGAGTTAGCCTGAAATGTGCTGACAACACTGGTCAACTCAATGCCATTCACAGCTCAGGAGTACCGTCTCCATTTCCTCTCACAACGCAAACCCATTCACAAAGCTCAGAAGTACTTTCCCTATTTCCTTATCCACTTTACTAACAAGAATGCAAAACAGCGTGAAACCAGAGGCAAGCAGAAGAAACCGATTTTTCTGTATGGCTTAAGTGGATGCTAGCCTGAGAAAACATCCATCAAAGAGCTGACAGGAGAGTGCCTACACAAGTGGTGTACAGAAAGCAACATCCTCATCAGCTACTTCAAGAACCCCGTGAAGCTATGTCCCCTTCAGTTTAGACTTCACATAAAATATAACCCCTTCAGTTTAGACTTCACATAAAATATAACAACAGCAAGGAAAAATAATGTCTCCATTTCCCCCCAGGCTTCTTCCCAGGGACCTGACCTGTATGTCTATTAACCGTCCAGCTTGCTTGTGGATGCAATTGGCTTTATGTCCAACCCTACGCATACCCTGATAATCAAATTATTTTTCCACATCTGCTTTCTAATATCATCAAACTTCTCTCAGGTTGTTTCCCTTTTCGTCAAATTCAGGGGCCCAAAGAAAGAGACTATCAGTTTCACCTCTGTTGTGTAGGGGCTGATATCAGCGCTCCCTGATCATAGAATCTTAATCCCAGCTCAATTTTTACGTACAGGAAATAGATGGGCTATCAATCTTGCCTCACAGAGAAACCGAAACCGTTTTTCTTAACATGCCTTTTCCCATAGCCATTCCACTCTCACTTTTGACTGCACAATGATTTTCAACCACTCACGGGTTAAGATTTAATACGTACTTTTATCTAGCTGAGAGATTCCAGATTCCGGTTCCTGCTCCGTCACTTTTAAGGGAAGACGCAGCAAGAAGCTTGTAAAAGCACCGACCCGAAGCACATCTCAAGCCAAGTTATCAGATAAGAGTTCACCGTCTGATTTCATGCCAGCTGACTTGTTATAGACTTACCTGTGCTTCGGGATCCCCCCCTCCCATCCCATTACTGCTTAGTCCCAGTCGGGATCAAGTCTTTGGCGGACAAGATTTTTGCTTCGTCTCGACCCAGATCTCACTGACCGTTAGAAATAAGTCCTGGTTCCTGACTGAGCTCATCTCTCAGCCAGGACTTTGCTTGCACCGAGTATTGCCTCAAACCGTGCGTAGAGGTTGGAGTCAGGGAGGAACCCATCAGCTCTGGGTCTCAGTCGGGATTCTGTCTCTAAACAAGGCTCAGGGTCGGGTCAGCCCCAGGTCGGGTTCGCAGCCTGGTCCAGGTCTCACCTTGACGCAGTCGATCGGGTACATCACGCAATGCTCCAGGATCCCTGCCACGGCGCCCGCCACCATGTGCGTGGTGACAGTGGCTCCAGCCGGCAGCGCTTCGTATTCCGGGCCGGACTCCGGATCCAGCCGTACAGGGGGCTGATAGGCCCCCGCCTCCCCGCCGCCGGCCCCCCGGCCCACGCCCCGCTGCAGCCACCCGTCCAGCAGCGCCGACTCCCCGGGGCTCCGCCCGGGCCCAGCAGCTGGTCCTCCCGCCACGCCGCCTGCACTCCGCCCCTCCAACTCCATCCACTTCGGCCAGCCGCGGCGCCCACCAGCGCCGCCGCTGCCGCCACTACTGCCGCCGCCCCCCGGCCCCGTTGCGTCCGCCTCAGGCGCGGCCCAGAGAGCCCGGGGCCTCCGGCTCCCGCTTGGCCCCGAGGACACGCCCCCCAGACAGCCATTGGTGTAGACCCTAACGTGTCCCCGCCCCCTTTTTACGGAGCAAAAATTTATCTGTGCTATTCGCCAGATAGCTTGTCATTAGTCCCATAGGTCCCACCCCTTCCCCTTTGATCTTGGAAGCGTCTTGTTTATTGGCCCTTGATTGGCGGACTTGGCCGAACGGCCCGCCCCTGGCGTTTCGGGGGCGGGAGAAACGTAAAGCTGAACTTTGATAGGCTCAACCGCTCTGGCTACTTTGGTGGTGGCCATTGGCCCGGACCACTTCGTTCTTCCATTGGATGTAGTGAGAAGCGCTTGGAGGACTGGGACCGGCTCCGGGCTGCCGCCCGGCGCTGCGGGGCGGCGTGCGGCCCGGACTGCTGGGGAGAGGGGGCGGTGCCAGACCTTCAAGGTCAAACCGCTGTCGGTTGCCGTTAGGACTCGTGCTCTGGCGTGCACCGAGTGTCTGGTAGCACGGTGCGACGTTCCCGCGGGATCTCAGGCGGGGGCGGAGTCGGCCTGGACCCTGCGTCCCCTGGCACGGCCCAGCCCGCCGCTAGGGAAGATCGGCGGTGAGCCTCCGGTGACGCTGAAGTGCTGTGCCCTCAGAGCAGATCCGCTCGCCTTGGGCCACCCACCCAAAGCCGCCTAGTGAACCCTCCAGTGGGTGGACGGATGAGCTCTCATTGGGTGGGCTCTGCGCTGGGAATGGAGAAGGCGAAATGAGATGCTTCAGAGGCGACGACAGGTGTCAGGGTCTTGGAGCAGCATCCCAATCGCAGCAGAGCAACTGCTGATGCGTCCCGACTCAGAAACTTGAGCATCTTATCCCGAGCTCGCTCGCTGATAAACTCCACCGGCTTTGGATGATTGTCCGCTCGCTTTCCGAGACCGTTGAGCTGCTTCTTCTTGAGAACCGCTCCCTGGTTGTAAAACGATGCCAGTGACGTCTAGTCCTCAGGGCCACCACCTTGAGCACAAGCAGGCACTGAAGCGACGCTAGAGCCTCAGCCTCTACTGAGGGATGAGGGCCCCTTTCCGCTGGTTCTGCAGGCTTCCTCAGGCTCCCTTCTCAGCGGCGTGTTTGCACACGCTTCCCCAGTTTCTAGGTCTGCCTTTACAACCTATTTTAATGAGATGATGACGCAATTGCAAACTTTTCCATCTTTTCATAGCGTTTCCTTAGAACGGTAGGAGGCTTTTCCATTTCCTCTCTAAAGCTTAGCCCTTCTCTCTCTCAGCTAATCTTTGGCAGTGGTTACTAACGTTTGTGTCGTGATCTCTTGGAAAATAAAGCTCTTAAGTTCCCAAACCCATCCCCAGTCACACATAAAATTGCATCTCATTTCGGATTTCAGCGTGGAGGAGATTCCATTAACCTCAGGTTAACAACTATTCCCCTACATCAAATACAATGTTCTGTTACCCTGCACTTTTCTCTTGAGGGATGAATAGATCTCACAAAAAGGACCCCTTGGTCCTGTTAAAATACCAATTTTCTTTCCTGTCAAATTGTTCCAATAATGATTAGTGCCTACTATGTCCTGTCTCCCCTTATCATATTTATTTTGTGGTCATAAAATCATCCAAATTCAATGACTCCTCATGGTGAGAGATAACACTTATCCTACATTGACCCACACCTTAAAACTTTCTCCCCCAGGAAAGGCTCCAGATACCAGCCTTTAGATTTCTAAGTCTTTTTCAGTTTGCCAGCGCTGAAGTGGAGCATTCCTGGAGACTTGCTGTTTCTTACCTGTCTTTAATACATTGCAGAATTTTGCCATTCCAAACCTAGATTTCTCCCAGGGGCCTTCTTTCTGTTTTGCCTTGCCTACTTGCTTATTTTTGTGGCATTGGAAAGCTAGGGAATGTACAGCCACTAACTGCAGTGTGGCAGACTGGTTCTGTCTACCTAGAAACGGCCAAGAAAGGCCTTTCTGAGGAGATGGCACAGAGAGTGGCAAACAAGGGTCAGTGATGAAAGATCGGGAGAAGAGCATTCTAGAAGGAGAAACAGGTTCAACACCCTTGAGGACAAGTTTCAGAAAAGCCAGGCTCGTTTATTACCCAGTTAGGGTTCATGTATTTGTTACAACAGCTGGCTTTTATATGGACACATGCACTTCCCCAGAATGATTTCTTCTCTCCCCTTTTAAAAATCAAAAGGGTCCAAAACCCTTTTCTTGAGGGTCCAAAACGTAACATTATCCTCCTGTGCTCCCAAGCTGGCGTTGTACCCTGCATGAAATACGGGTGTAGAATAAAATGAGACTGATTTCTGAAGCCCAACATGACAATAAGTCTGATTTCTTTACTGTTGCAGAGATGACTGTGAGAAACTTGTGAGCTCCTGGAGTAATCAGCAAAGGAGAGGGGTCTTTCTAAGTCTGGAAACTGCAGAGGAAGACTTCTAAAGGATATATGGGAAAGAGTTTCAAGAGAATCTGTCTCCTGTTCTCTGTGTGGAATCTTTCCTAGAACTTCATGGAGGAACTGGAGAGATGGCTTAGTGGTTAAGAACACTTGTTGCAGCCGAGTGGTGGTGTGGCTCACCTTAGTCACAGCACTCCAGAGGCAGAGACAGGTGGATCTCGGAGTTCAAGGCCACCCTGGTCTACAGAATGAGTCCCAGGACAGCCAGGGTTACTTCAGAAACCCGTCTCAAAAAACTAAAAACCAAACAAACACAAAACCACTTGTTGCAGAGGACTGAGTTTGCTCACTAGCACCCATACGGTGGCTCTCACTTTCCATAACCACAGTTCCAGGGGATCCAGCATCCTTTTCTGAGCCCTGAACCAAAGTGTACAGGTGTGCAGGTGTTGCACACACACACTTCAATTGAGTAAGTCTAAAGAAAAAGGAAAACCCTTTTCCTGGAAAAGCCATCGAAGCAAAGCAGTTTTTCCTTTTTTTTTTTTTTTTATTCTCAAACAGTCCTTCTACCTTTATGAAAGAAAGGGTGACCTCACCCACTCTTCACCTTGCTGAGTCACTCCTAAGGGATAAAATAACCTCCCAGTTGTCAAGGGATCCTAATGTTGGCAAGTTTTCCCTCCTTTATGCACAGTTGGAGACTTCATGTCTTTCCTGGTTTAAATATATTTCCATTAAGACCAAAATTTGTTCTTTGGTCCTATTAGATATTTCTTTCCTACCCCCTTTCCCGTGTGTGTGTGTGTGTGTGTGTGTGCGCACACACACGTAGAAGCGGATTTTTAATTTAAGTCACCTAGTCCAACCCCTGCCTACTTTCAAAGGACATGTTACTCTATTCCCTGAGGTCAAAAAGCAATATGAAACACAGTAGTGACGTCTAATCTCATTCAGGTCTGAGCCATGTCTTCCTTATTCTGGGATTAGAGTGTTCATGATTTATACTTTTTATCTTTAGTGACAAGAGATAAGAACGTGCTGCAAAAGCAGTGCCCTGTACTATCAGTGGTGAAATATTTTAAAAGCTGAATGATCCTTTGGGCAAATGGTCCTACTTAGATCTAGTTTTAGATTTTGTGTTATTTCTATGACTTCTGAAAGTAACAACCTTTGTTAAGGGTGTGGAGAAATTGGAACTCTCCCTCATTGAAGATGAGAATGTGCAGGCCACTGTTTTCCAGCTCAGTGAGTCATCAACCATTTAAACTGGGATTGGTGAGGTGGCTCTGGGACTGAAGGAGCCTGCTTAAGCCTGACAGCCTGAATTTGATCCTGGAACCCATGTTGATAGAGAACTGAATCCTAAAGTTGACCTCTGACCTCCACACTCTTCAAATTGAACTGTTGTGTGACTAAGCAGTTTCACTCCTAGATCCAGTTCCAGAAGAGTAAGAGGTAGGTGCATACTGGTTAATAGTGGACCCCCCACAGCAGGCAAAAAGTAGAGGTATCACACACAAACATCCATCCGTAGAACAGATCAATTTAATGTTTATACAATATATAAACACAGTGGCTACAGTTTAGCTATGCAAGGAGAACATGCTGATACCTGTTGTATTGTGAACAAGCCTGGAAAACCTTCTGTTTCATGAAGGAAGGCAGACGCAAAAGCACATGGAATTTCACTTATGTGAAATAGTCAGAGTAGGCAGCTATAGCTCAGACTCGAATGGAGGAAAACTTCTTGTTGTGTTCCAGTTTATTCCACAGTTATGAACACAGCCTACTTCCTCTCTCCATCAAGTTTGTAGCCAACTGACAAAACTGAGCTAGTCAGAATGAGGAAGGAAGGAAGAGAAGGGAGGAAGAGCGTTATCTAACTCACTCCATCCTAGTTTCGTCTTGACTCCCCTTCATGAAAAGAGAGCAAGGAAGACAGCACGGAGTGGCAAGCTTCTCTTACTAGATCTCAGCTGCAGCTTCTTCTCCTGCAACATGGTGATGATTATGCTAGCAGGAACTTGCTGTGTGTCAAAACTTTTCCTGGGGAGATGCAACACACTCGTCTGCTCATCCTAGACAGGGAGCCCTCGACAGACCAAAGTACAGATACCACCAAAGTCCAACTGGACAAACCAAGTTTCACTGGGGTTACTTACAGGAATATGGATGAGAGGTGTCTACAGAAGCAGAAATGACTCAAAGACAGTTGCATCACCAAGGCCCATCCCAGCATCCGTGACAGCTCATAAGAGTCGGGAACCTGGAACACACTGCACCGCCTGCAGGCAGCTCAACAGGTTGGAGGGTGTTCCTTCCAGATGCCTCATTTGGTCTAAACCTCTTCCATGTAGCTTGGCTAGTTTCTGCATCTTCCAGGTAGCTGTTGGTCTCGGAGTCCTCTTTGCAGCTTTTCTCCTCTGAGAGACTTCTTTGCAGCTCACCTTCGCTTAGTCTGAGAGGGACTCTCAGGTTTTCTTTTTTACTCTGGCAAGGAGGGGCCTAATGAATCTGGTCAGTTTTAGAGACTTCCTGAAGTTATTTTGAGTTGTTTTACTTTCCTGTGGGATAGAATGTTTCAATCCTCAGAGG